TGGGAATGACACATTAGCCAGAAAAAACACTTCAGCTTGCAGATTCCAGAATAAATTTTCAGGAGCGACAGATTTAATATCTGTTTAGTGTTAAACTCAGTAAATTTGGTTTGTAAGCCCCTAGGAAAAAAAATGGGTTTTATAATGCCATTTGTACAAGCTGTAACATAAGGCAGTTTGAAAAAGGGTTTCTGATCAATCATTGGAATAAGAACATTTCTTTGGTTGGCACTGTTCTTGTATTTTTCTATTTCTTTTAGTCAATCACAGAATGGTTGAAGTTGGAAGGGACCTCTGGAGGTCACCAGGTCCAACCCCTCTTGGTCAAGCAGGGCCTCCTACAGCCAGTTGCCCAGGAGCACATTCAGACAGCTCCAAGGTTGTTGGAGATATTAAATCCCAAATGAGAATTATCTTTTTACTTAAAGAAATTAAACTATCCAATCATGGAGCTAGAAAGTGTTATATGAGGTAAGTGACCATATGCTTAATGACTATTTGAAGCAATTGTCACAATTTGCAAGGAATTATTAGGTTGAAATTTCTTTTAGAAAAAAAAAAAAAGCCTTATCCAAATAATTATATTTTAACTACATATGTACATGAAAGATGAGACATATGGTTTATGGTTGCTCAAAATTACTAAAAGAGTCTTCTACATCTACCACAGCCTGTAATGTTACTTTCAGTACATTTTATTTGATAGAGTTATTCACTGCTGTTCTTAAAAAAAAAAAAAAAAAGTAATCTGAAGAATTTGCTATTTTGCTAAATCCTCCAAGATTTAATAGAACACACTGCGGCCATGGACAATGTGAATATAGTCAAGGTAGGTCAAGCATATTTTACATTCCATTGAGTGGGTCTAGAAATCCAGATTGAATTAATGAGTTGAAATACTTCATCTTTGGCATGGAATTTGATTTACTAAATGCCATCTTTATTCTTGGAGAAAATAAAGTAGGTTAAATTCAGAAGTTCAAATTCCTAATGCGGGTAAGGACAGAAGCATTCCATTTCTTGTTTCTGTGATGTTTTGAAGCAAATAAGACACTAAACTAAACTTCCATCATTTGTCTTGCAGAAATAGTTTGAAAGTAATTAGAAAGCATAGCAATTCATGTGAGAACACAAGATTATTGGTCCAGCAGCTTGACTGCTCAGTTAGCAAATATTATTAAAAAGCTTAGTACCAAAGAGAGAGAGTGAGGAAATATTTGGAAAGGCAAAAGGCCAGGCAGCAACAAGAGATTGGCCCTTCCTTTCCACAAATACACTCACACTGGATGCTATGGCCAGGGAAAGAAAGAAAAGGAGCTACCTGTTTCAGCGGATCACCAGTGGTGCAGCCTCCAAGAAAGGGAGCAGCAGCAGCAGGAGGAGGTAGCAGAGCTTATAGACTTTTATAAGCAAGTAACTTGGTAAGCAGCTGCAATTTTATGCTGATACTGCTAGACCAGAACAAACAGATCATAAAATTCCCCTGTACCCTGCTGGATACAAGGTGCTGAAGTTTATGTCATCCTAGTGCAGGAAAGACAGACAAACTATTCCACTACATCGCCACTGAGTAACAGAACAACTCCACTAACTTCTGGTTTTGTCAAATTTCAGATCTGAGCAGACCACGGTTTTATGATCACTGTTCCATCAACAAAAAATGCGGACTTGAGAGTATATGAAAATGGTTTTCTTCAGCTAAACTATAAAACAAATCTACAGTCTTCTAACGTAATGTTCTAAACCTGCACAGCATGCCCATCTTCAGCCGCATGGCCTCTGCAGCGTGCGCCAGGATGTAGCTAACCCTTGATCTGAGACACTGATGGCGATTGCTGTTCCGTTCTCTACCTGTGTAAACCTAATTGCCAGAGACATGCTTTACTCTATTTAAATCTGGGACTCAGTCAGAAGTCTCTAAACAAAATTATCTATCCTGAGATGAACAGGCAGTCATATCAGGTGATCTGATAGTCCCCTCTGGCTGTAAACTATGAAACCGAAGACTTGAACAAACAGTTCCCATTAGGCTCTTAGCGTTATAAACAAGAGTGTACGTCTTATCTAACATTCTTTTTGCACTAGAAGAAAATATAAGAACTGCTAAGAACACACATTGCATAACACAAGCAACAGCCACCTTAGTGCAAAGCCTTTCAGACAATGCTTGGAACTTGCAGTTTTCTGCTATGTTGCATCATGCATCACACAACACATTGCATGTGTTGTGCTGTGAAAAACTGGAAAAACACATCATCTGTGGAATTAGACTTGGTCGACAGCCAGGAAAATAGCTCAAATTTTGTGCAATAGGCAGAATAGAATTACCTTTAACGTTGCTTCAGACACAATGCTTATACCCCCCAAATAGACAGACTGATATTCTCTAAAATGTCTTACCACTATCAGCTAAATTAACCTAACTTTAATCACTGTCATTTAATTATCTTCATTTTCTTTTCAGATTAATCTAGGCTGAAGAATTAAAAATATCTACAAGCTGTTAGACAGACATTGCTTTCGCATTTTAAACATTCCCACATTATATAGCAATTGGGAGTTGTCATTTGGGAAAGCACCAGACACAGCTATGAAAAATAGCTTGCAGACCTTAATGGAAAATAAAAATACCATATGCTACCATTCATTGTAATTCCTGGTCTAAATTATTACGAAATCTCAACTTTGATCTCTGATGCGCACTATTTTTCTCTAAGAATAAATGAGAACTATTAAATCAAAATCAAGTATCATCATAAATCATCATTAAAGAAACCTGCATAGCCACAAAACTGTGTAGTTGTGCAGTGTGCTATAATATGGACAGAATTTCTCTATTAACAGCTTTAATTTCCTGAAGGAGTAAAATGAAGTATTTCCCATTGGGAATACCTGAAGAAAAGCACTGTTTCAAATATATTTATTTAAAAAAAACCCCAAAAATTATATTAAGGATTTTTTTTAATCATTCTTTGAGCTCTATGCAATATACAGTCTAATTTACCTGTGCTCTCAGTGGTGACTGGAAATAGCCTATTAAATACACGAATGTTATCAACCTCACACTCAGACTTTCTTGTTATTGTAAGTCAAATAAATAATGTACGCGAGACATAATGGACAACAGGTGAAGTTTATGACTTTAGATCAGATTTCACAGTGGCATGAAACTCCAATTTATCATTCAATCTTCCACTTCACCATACAGAAACTATTACTCTCTCTGTGACATTTTCACTGAATCCCTATGCAATGTTGACAAAACAAATAATTATATTAACTTGTATTACTCCTTTTTGAAATTAGTTCTGGTGAATTCATTATAATCCTTGTTTTTCTTATAGATCTTCTTCAAAGCTAATTTACTGTATTTTTGGCAGCACTACTTCAAAAAAACTTGGAGAATAACTAAGAAAATCAAGCTTCAGGTGATTGACAAAATCAGGCATTAAGAAAGGAAAGACAAACACTATTTTGGTTTTCTGAAGTACTTCCAGGAAGAATTAGAAATTAGCATTAGAGTCAGACTGAAGTTGTAGACTTCAGATCTGAACTGTCCTTCACACAATCACCTGTCACTACAAAAAAGAATTTGTAGCAAAACTGATTTGTAGAATATCTTCTCCTGTTAGACAAAGGATTTGTGAGATTTAACAATTATTTCTCTCTCATATGTTTCTTAAAAGCCATAGGGTTGATAACATTTGTTAGCATGCCTCACAGAAGAATCAGGAGGGTATAAATTTCTACTCATGCTAATTTCAGCCTAGGCACACCTAGGAAGGAAAGGAAAAAAGGAAGGAATCGGAGGTCTTGTAATAATTAAATACATTTTGATTTTCCTAGCAGCAAGTATTGTAGGAAAGTTAAGCAAATTTTATGCTAGGACTATGAGACTGAAACGTTAAGAAGAAAAACATTCTAATGTTTAGACCGTCAGTTTGTTCTTAGACAACAAAGTAGCTGTAAAAACAATAACTATTTCTGAAGGTATCAAAGGAATTTAAGCCTATTAGGATGTTATATAAAGTTAAAGCATAATGTCAATATTATTTAGATATACTAAACTAGCTTGAGGAGTACAGAATTGTGTGTTAGAGTGGCAGGCAGCCCACTCAGCATAGGTGGTCTTGGAGTCAGGGCATCTGTTAGAACCGATGTCAAGCATCCACACAGTGCAAGGCAATACAGAGTAGGTTAAGGGTAGACACTGTTGCAGGGTCTATCCTCCTGTGTTTTTTGAGAAAGGGACAGAGAACAGGATTGTGTGTCAGTATATGCAGTGGTAAAAGGCAGACAAAAAAGACACTTCTTATTACAGTTTGAGGATCAGACACTGACAAAAGAGATCTTTCGATACCATCAGGCTTGTCTTTTTCTAGTAGAAGACAGCTTTGGATATCAGAGCAGATGAACTTGGGTTTTATCCAACAGTTATATTTGACATCAACTACTCCATAAAGCAGCTATTACTTTAGTGCGCATGCAGGTATGAACGATGCACAGAGGCTATTTTTTTTTTTTCTGAGTTCCACACAGCAATCTCTCTCTTTAACAATTCGTTGTTCAGAGATAACCAAGTTAAAATTATCTGGTTGTCTAGCTTACAGTACTAATTGCAGAATGCAAATTAATGCAGGAAATTTTCCTAAGACAAGTTTGCTTTAATTTTTCAGGAAGACATAGAGTATCACATTGCCAAAAAATTCTGAGCCTCAGCAATAACTGCAAGTTCAAATATTGAGGCTTGGCAAGACATGGTTATCTTTTCAACACACCCTTTTAATAACAATCATGTGATGTTTATAAAGTGGTGAAAGCGCCTAGAATTTAGTGAGCTTTTGTTCCTGCCATAGTTCACAAAATTTCATTATCTCTTTTCTCTGTGAACCATTTCCACACTAGGTCTAACATTGCAGTGATCCATGATCATTCACATCTAACTCCAGCACTCCAATTTTCCTAAGAAATTCATCAGTGCTACACACTACTGACCTTACCCTAAACCCATCTGATTGCAGGCCAGTTGGCTTAAATTTTCTTGCCACTCATCAGCACAAACATGGTTATCAGCAGCTGACCTGTGAATGGTCAGGAACATCAAGGAATTCATGTTTTTAGACAGGGTAACTGCAAAGAAAGAGAAGAACAACTTCACTATTATTTCACATGGTTAGTTTTATAAATGGCATACTGAAAACATACAACTACATTCAAAAGAATTTTTCAAGATGCCGGCACTTTTGCTGATTTTATATGCTCAATAGCTATGTAATTTAAAACCAAGGCAACCATGGCTATCAGAGCCTCGCTAATGTTGAACAGCATGAAATACTAAACAACAAAGGCATCTTGAGGATTAGAATAAACCAGAATACTCTCGACTCACCAGCACAGGTTCAAATGAGTTTCTGATAGCCTTAATCTTGTTAAATGATGTTTTACCCCACAAATAGTCCAACTGAAATCACTAAAGGAATTTGTGGGATGAATGCTGCTTGACATTAGAGCGATACCATCATTTGTCTCTCAGTAATATGCACTGTTCCTGTCATAACAGTATGTGGGTGTAATTAAAGAAAGAAAAAACAACTGCTGTTTACAAGAAAGATCATGACCATCGCTTCTCTCTTAACTCATAAAAGCGTGTGAACTGCTTTTATCACACACAAAAAGCTTCTCAAAATGGCCCCAAATGGAAATTTTTATCCCTCCCTTTCTAGGATCCCTTAAAAGATGTTGGACTGTGTGCATTTCTTCCCCAAATATGTTCTGGTTTTAGTTAAACTGGTCCTCTGACTTTTGTTTTGATAGTACTAATCTTAACACAGCCAGTCATGACACATTTTTCCTATATGCTGAAGGTGCTTTTGCCTCTCCTCCCCATGAGAAAGGTATGTATTAATCCTGGATTACTCCTTTTCGAACATGCATTTCTAGAACAGTTCTTCTCTGTTGCATAGGTTTTATTAAATGCTGCTGTTTACTAATGTTCATATAATGTTAAATGTTTTAAAATATTTATACAATCTACTTCAAAATTAGTACAAAATATTCACTTCTGTAAGCCACGGTACACCTTTTTTGTGTATGTAAAATTACATACAAAGCATGTCAAAACTTAGTAACAGAAACTACTCCTATGTACAGAAATACACATTAACTCAATGAAATCTCAGGGGACATACTACCACTTTCTAACCTGCTGCTTTTCAGTACAATTTTTTGAAATCCACCTTCATTTTTACGTAAAGAATAATACCTGGGGAGTTCTACTTTAACAACACATAAAAGCATGAGGACTAATCTGAATATAGATAGCAATAACAGGTTATATCATTCTGCAGGTCTTTAGCCAGTGCAAAGGGGACCTAGTAGGACTATCTTCTTCTCATAAGCTCTGAGCCTGCACCGCTGCAGTCAGTGGGAATTTCACACTGATTTTCACAAGTACAGAATCAGAGCTTAGAAGTTTTGCCCAAATGAAATCTACATCTGAACATCTTCCTACCCTGTCTTCTATTCACAACACTTTCCAGATTTCACATACCATCTACACATTTTAGAAGTTCCCTGCCATGTCACTTTCCTTATATCTTTGCACTGGGGCACTTCACACTAAGCCTTTCCTTTCTCTTTTGCCCAGTTTCTTGCATGCTCTCCCAACCTCAGCGCAGTCTCCCTTTGGTAATAAAGGGAGCATCTCTCCACCAGTGTAATCGTATTCTAAATGAAATCACCAGTGATTACTACCATCACCCGAACATCACTTCCAGGCAGAGCGCACCACGGCGGAATCTTACCACAGTCCCATTCATCTGAGCTGTCACTGCAGTCTGCTCGCCCATCGCACCAGAGCTCACGTGGCACACATTCGTGGTTGGCACATTCAAGTTCACTCTCTTCACAAAATGCTGCAAAAACAAAAACTTGTTTCACCCTGAGAAAGAAATGAGCAATGCGAAGTTCACATCAAGATTGAAAAAATGAGAAGGAGGGTGGAGGTAGGCACAGATCGGTTGTATGGAGCAAGAAAACGAGACAGATTTGCAACAGCGTTCAGGATGGGCATCACTGAGGCAGAAGGTGGTTGCTGCCACACAGTTGCAGAGGGCATCACAACTCAAAGGGAAGGAAGAGTGTCTGGAAATGGCAAGACCTGTGATTACTTAATATTTGTGGTCTTGTCATATGAAACCGGTCTAAGCCTCTCTCAAGCTTTAAGTGAAAATACTGTGTTCCATGCTTTTTAGGAGACTGCTCCAAATCTATTTATTTCTTCATGTTCTTTGAAAATAGTATTTTACTGTAATGCATCTGTATTTCCCTTCATCCACAGCAAATTCTCTATTCACTTTTGGATCCTCCTTTGCTATTTAAAATCATGGAATTATTTTTATCTCCACATTGGAGATGGGGAACTGATGTACAGATAGACATGCTCCTGTTTGCAGGTGGTGGCCAGCTGGCAGCATTAGAGCGGGATTTCCTGAATCTCTGTCCAGTGCAGGAACCACAAAAGCTTCCATTTGCAAGCGACTTTTAGCTTTCCCCCAACCATAACAAACTCCCTGCCAAAAGGCAGGTGTGTAGCATTACAGTACCCTCCTCAGTAACACACTTCTCTTCCAGCTTCTATAAACCCCACCATTGGGGAATTTTGAGAACTGGGGGAGGGTAGAGAGGGAGAAAATGCATGGAAGGAAGCTGCATTCAGTTGTGCCTATGTCTGGCTGTTGTATAGCGTCTATACTGCCATACAAACCAAGCATTTCTTTGCAACACTAGCACAAAAAATGTAATCCACAGTGAAAACCATACAGATAGAGCAGGCAGTGTTGCCTACTCTGACACATGTGATCTTTCTGGCTCTGGAATAAAGTGTACCAAACCAGAAAAAGCTCTCTAACTCTGCCTTCCAGAGCAAGCGTCTTTCAAAAGCTGGAAGCCCTCAGCTAGGGAAACTTTGCTGCCATTTTGGAATATTCAAGCCCTGACATAAAAGCAGAGAGGAGATATAGTCTGATAACTATAGACTAGCTTAACCTAACCCCTTGGAGAATCTTTTCTCTGCCATGATCTTAATACGTGATCATGAGCAAATCACTGTAATACCACCTTCCTGGTTTTAGATTACAGCACACAGCCCGCTTGGAAGGCAAGTGATATTATCTTCACAATGAAAAACAGATTAAGAAACATTCTGTGAGCTGCCTCTTCCCAAAAAGAAACAACATTAGATCTAGCGATATATGCAGGCTGCCCATCATTTTGGCAAATATATTAATATGCTCCACATAGCACATACAATGTGCCTACCATCCTGTCCCTGCCAACAGAACTCCAGAGACTCAGAAGCAACTGGTTTTAAATTGTAAAATTATATGCTACAGTCCCAGCAAAAATGCTGAAATACTGGGATTGCCCAGAGAACTAAAATTTCAGCTTTCAACCAAGTTTACCAAGCATCTCTTCTTTCTTGTGGTGGCTGACTGTCACCCAGTATGTCTTTTCTAGTTCCTTGTCCCGGGGGCATGCCCGCACACCAGACTTTCTCAAGATAATTCAGAGTAGCACTAAATATATTCATGAATGTGAAGCTAACATCTCACAGCACCCACTCCCAGCTTCGCATGCAGCGTGGGAGCCTGCAAAGCAGGAGCGTTTGCAGGTCTTCCACTTATTCCTATCCCACTAGGCAGCTATGTAGTGGAAACAGAATGCAGGGCAGCTCCTGCAGGGGACCAGGGAGCCTACTGCACACTGTCAGCACCCTGAGCCACATAGACAGTATGCCCACACCATCGGTGTGTCATACTAAGTTTTGTATCTCTGATATTTATCACAGTTTCAACTGCAGAAGTAGTCTGTGGAGCCAAGTGGGGAGACAGAATCTAAGAAGTGCCAAGCAGAAGAGAAATCAAATAAAGCAGGGACACATGTGAGATTTACTGAAGAACAGATCAGAGGGAAAATCAAGTGGAAATCAAGGAAAAAAGAGCAGTGAGCAGCTATACCCATATGGAATTAAGTTGAGAAAAGTTGGGAAAAGGAGTGAGGAAGCTACGAGGAATAAAGAAAAGGAGCACGGAGACACAAGGAGGAGGAGGGAGAGAGAGAAAAAAAGAGAGAGGACTGAAATGACCAAAGAGACATCAAGGATCCAAGGATCTGGACAACAGAGGACATAAGATGAGGAAAGAGATAAATTGGTGTAATATGAAAACTGAGAAGGAAACGGAGGGAATAACTAAGCCTTTCTATCTGTAGAAAACCTTTTTACTTTCATTTATTTTGCACCCCAAGATCCCAAAAATATGATCAGCCCTTTATGGGACTATCAAATTGCATAACCCCTTACAGCAATTCTTTTCATCCATCATGTCAGGGCAGTCTGGGAAACCATCACAAATCATAGTGTGTTTGATGCACAGCTTCTTCAAAGGACACTCCCAAAGACCCCTTTCTCTACAGCCTGGAAGCAGAGAAGCACAGTTTTTAAACCCTTGCATGCAATATCAAATCAACCCTTTTTTTCTTCCTTAATAGTCATAAAACACCTAAAATATTTTAATTTGCAATACAAATTTTAAAAGGTACCAAGAATAGTTACTAACAAAGAAATGGAATAAGATTGTCAGAGTGCACACTTGATAAATGGGTATAAAATATATAACACCTCATAATACTTCAGCACTTTTTAAATAGTAATGAGAAATATGTAATTTTTTTTCTGGCACTGCTCATGCAGAATCTAATGCAGATCACAATGAAAGGTAGAGAGAGGCTGTAAGTATTGACCACAAACAGTTTTCCTGGTTCCATAACCTGAGACCGAACCAGTTTGAAAAGTTTAGAAAGACCCAATGGCCGTATGAATCTTCAACAGCGTTCGTTATTACGCAGGGAACACACTGCATAATTGTCTCTTCAAAGTCCTGCTAATCAGCCTCCCTGGTTTCATGAGGAATACTTATAAAACTGTATTAAAGTGCTCTGACAATAAAATTCCTGTTAGTCAGCTAGAGGAAATTAAGAACGGCCCAAGGTACATTTTAGAACACTGTTTTCTCTTGGTTTATTTCACTATTTATTTCCAACAACTAATAAAGCACTTCACTGTGATACCAGTTTAAATATTTTGACATACTAATGTCCTGCACATCTGACATTCCAGTTTTATAGGAAGCCCTAAAACCAGCATGCTCTCCTAACTAAACCAGATGGCTTGGTTGCCTTGTTTGGCCTGTTCTATAGATGATACTACTAGTTTTCACTTTAATTCAAGCTCAAATTCAGATGACAGCCCTGATGTCCCCCCCCACAAACAGTAGACATATAAGCTCACAAACTGCATTCGAAGCAGCACCTGCGCCTGGACCTGGCACTGCAGCAGCATATCAGCAGTAAATTACTAAGCTGACATGTTGTTTCCAAGAAGTGTTATTTCAGAAGTGAGTATTTTATAAACATGAACCAGAGAATCACTCCTAGCTCATATGATTACTGGAAAATTCTACTCATGTTTTAACTGTAACTGGATGTGTGGAGTGCTTGATTTTGTTTACATTGAAAAAGCCATGTAAATAAATGTTACAGCACAGAGAAATAAATAGCCCTGAATCTGTGAAACTAATTCCACATGATCAAAGAACTTGCTTGGGTATCACCATTTTCCAGGTCTCATTCTTGACAATATTTGTGATAACTATTAATGAAAAACTAATTGAAACCAAACAAAACCTTTACTCTAGTAGAGAACAAAGAATGTCAGTCGTGCTAGGAACTTGATATGAAAATAAAATTTAAAAGCTTAAAAAAATATAAATTATGAACCTTGCAATTTTTTAGCAGAGAGTTTACAATTAATTAAATACGTGTTTGCTTTTCCCCTTCATCACACATTATAGCATTACACTGTGAGGTGTTCCATGACTCTCCAAAATTTATCTTTGAGTACAACATAGACAAATATAGAGACAATTCACTAGGAAACATTCACTACTTACTGAATTCAGTGTTTGAATATACTGTTTTGTTGGTAGAAGCCATTTACCATTTGGTGTATTTATATTTCTTCTCTCAATATTTTTGTGACATACATTTTTAATTTAATGACAATGAAATGGAAGTGAAAATGGACGTAGGAAAATTTTCCATGTTTACATTACCCCCATCTCAAACATATGTCTCAGCAAGAGACAGGGATTCACATATGATCTTACCTTCATTCTTCATCAAAACATGAAGCAAGTTACCATTTGTCATTCACACATATATTCCCCATGCAATTATTATTAATCCATTAACATTAAGATCACCACATTTTTCTCTCAAATAAAATACTACAGTCAGAATTTGGATTGCAGAAAACAGTGAAAGACAATACTGGTTTTGAATGTTGTATCTTCAATTTCTTTAGTACTCTTCTACTGTTCAGCGGCCAGTAAATTAATATGACCATAAAGCATATTTTATACCTCAAATTCTCTTGATGTCTACCATAATAATAGTTTTCAGAAATTACCTTCCTCACACTTTACTGAACTGTACTCCCAAGTCTCACATTCAGAAATCTGGGTCAAATTTTCTCCCCAAATCCTAGTCTAAATGGCACTAAAGTCTCAGAATTTCACTACAATTGCATGGGTGAGATTCCCTCTCACAAAGATCATGTGAAAGTATAACAGGGATATCTAACAGGAGGAGACAGTGGGTGCTGAATACAGTTCTACTCTGCATGGGCAGAGTATACCTTGGTCCCTTTGGACTGTTCTACTTTACATTTTTGGCCAGAGTAGCTTGAACATCTGAAAGCTGTAGCTAGTCTTTTCCAGCCTCCTCCTCCTGGCACTGTGAACTTTTTCCATGCCTATCATTTAAGGCACTTCAAATACAAGGTTTTTAATTTAAATGCTGACTGTTTCCTAATGGTATAAAACCAATTTCAAAGCATAAATCTAATAAAATGTGAGTTAGCCATTTACACGTGGAAAGATCATCAAGTTTTGTCCTGCACACATGGAATATGAATGAGTCAGAGACAGTTACTTCTGGAGCTCGACAAGGACTTTCTGTTTTTCAGCAACAGCATTACCCCTGGTCAATGTAATGTCACTCTGACAGCAGTAATTTCCTAGCAGATACGGTCTTCCATATTTATGGAAACTGATAAGAATTCTGCTGATTGCTAGTGACATTCTGTCTAGACTATAGAGACAGAGAGAGATCCACTCGAGAAATGAATATTATATATTAAAGCATATTTCATATGTTAATGTCTAGGAGAATAAAATTATCCTAAAATATGTATAGCAATTAGTGTTCTAAGGAGTTAAGAACAGGTGGCAACAAAGAATAATTGGCAGGGAGGACAATCGAGACAATTGATTCAAAGGTAAAGAGAAGACAAACTCAAAAGAGTTACTGTGAATATTCAGCTCTGCCTTTCTCCTTTATGATCCAAACAAGAGAATGACCTAATATTAAATCCTGGTTCAGTAAGTGTATATTTTTTTTTTTTGCTTTGTGCTTTCCTTTTGCCAGGGAAGGGGAATGGGACAGAAAGAGGCAAGAGAATACAAGCGTGATTTGAAAACTCCCAGAGGTTGAGAATACATTGCACCTTAGCGATAAATAACTTTTTGGTTACTCCAATCATTAAAAAAAACCCCTGCTCTTAAAAAAAGTGTTTTATAGAGCTGACAAGCTTGAATTTTAGCCTAGTTTCAGCTTTCAGGTGTTGGATCTTATTTTATTTTTGTGCAGCTGAGTAGAAAATCTTTTATTGCCAGTTTTGTTGCTCACATAAATTTTGCTTCCATCTTAACCTCCTCTCTGTTAAAAAAAACTCCACAGGTTGTGCACCTTAGCCCTACTCTGCTGGAATGTTTTCCAATCCTTTACTCGTATCCACACCTCCTCTCTAAATCCTTAATGATTTATAATTATTCTCTTTGCCCCTAGGGATGCCAGGCCAGCATGCAGAACTCCATGGAGGCTACACCTTAGTCACAAAAAGAAATAGTTCAAGCTCCCTTTTCCTTCTCAAAATTCTCCTGCCAGCACGTACAAGGATAAATAGTGACCAAAAGATTTGTTGTTTATTCTCAAGCTCGACACATCCCCTTAAGTTAAAAGTCAAGAGCATCTCTACTGTAAGTAAACTCAGGAATATACTGGAGAATAAACTTTGTGGTTACCACTTTGTCCTTGTACCTACATCTTGAGGTTGACCAATCTGAAAAACATGTAATTCTTGACCCTTGCAGTACAGAATCCACTTCAGCAATGCAATCTTTTGTCAATACATCATAGTGAGAATATTACCATGTATAAATTTATAACTATATTTATACATTCAAGATTTAAACTGCCAGAAAGTCATGTTTTAGCTCAGTAGAACCTTCAGCAATATCAAAAGAATTACATCTGCAGCATTTTTCTGTCTTGATTACTAAAGGAATACTCAAACATCCTGGAAGATGTTTAGCAGAATCTAAATGATCAAATGTCATGAACTGCATTGACATTAATCAAGAAGGATGCTTGCTAAAGTATTTTTACTGCCACTAGTCATAAAAACCCCACACTTTCAAAACATATTCTTCTTACAGAAAAGAGGGCTTATCCTCTGAACTGTCATGCTATCGTTCAAAGAACTGAAAGTAAAATAAAACTCATTTCTAATGCTTCAGCTACTCTCCATTCAAAAGATAGAACTCATTGCATTTATTTACCACAGCTGTCCTCATCACTATCATCTTCACAGTCAGCTTGACCATCACATCTTCTGGATGCCAGGACACACCTCCCAGAACGGCATTTGAAGTGACTGGGTGAGCATTCTGTCAATGACAAGGAACAGGGAGAAACAAGATTTGATAAGCTGCAAGCTTAATCATCACATGGGTACTTATTTGTTCATCACTGTGACTGGTTCAGAAGGGTAAATGACAGGAATAGAAAGCTTGCATGATACTGAACTGGAACTATGCAGCAAGCAAGACTCAACAATTGCACTGTGAATAGGATGTATTTGCCAGAGCTCTCCCTCATGTGCTATCCTCTGTCAAATTTCAAAGCTTTGCCAAATAACTGGCATACAATGTTTAGATTCGTGGGCACAAGTTTTTTAGCTACCTTTCCCACTGTTGTGGCATTGTGTGAAGCAGAAGTAGATCATCTGATGTGTTGAAATGAGTATAAGAGATCCCCACCCATTTTATCACACTGTACATGGCACTGAATGGGATGTACAACCTCCATCAGATGTTCTTCTTTTTTTCCTTCCCGCAAAATCTCTGATACTTAATATCATGCAGTTCCCTGAGTAAATTTTAGGATTCAATAAACAGTTGTACCAAAAGTATCATCAATGAACTTTGGAGCCTTAGAAAAATAACATTCTAATGATAAAAGGTATGTGAACTATACTGCCAACATTTAAGAATAAGCCATTGTGAAAAAACAGTATTCTTGGATTCTTCACTGACTGGAAGAGAAGTTAAGCAATTCAGCACATTGTAGTAACAGTCAATATAGCTTAAGTTGGAAAATCACCTATATTTAGTAATCATAAACATTTTAAATGCTCTCAGAAGCTTTATTTCTTTTGTCACGTGTGTTTTTTTCAGAAATATTTATATACGATTTTAAACTTCCCAGGGAAGACTTTCTAGCCAACATTGGTAGTCAGTAGAAATCTGGCACTGACCCAACATAAAATTCTAGCAGTAAGTGAACCCAAACCAACTCCAGTAAGACCCCCTAACTGATTACACTGTTTCTAAAAGAATACCGAAACCCTCTCCTTTTTCACTGATTTTCCAGGAATATCTATATCAGTGCTAAGATGATCAACAAGCAGTGAATCAGCTTAGTAGGCAGAGTCCTTCTAATTAAAGTGACAATTTTTTTAGATTATCATTTTTATAAGTGAACAGAATTTATCTCTAGAAATGGAACACACTAGTCCTGTACACAGTAGCATATTTAAAATAGAACCATTCTATGTTACATTTCAAAGACAAATGATTTAATAACATGGGGAGGAAGGCTAAAAGACATTTGATACCTGAGAAAATGAAATCACATTATTGTTCTTTAACTCACCTTGTTGTGCCAAAATCTTACTTTTCCTTTTCTACACACTGCTGTGTAATAATGGATAATTCCTTTCCATCAGCCCACTGCTGTAGAGGGAAATTATCTTCTTGTCTCTCAAGAGTCCCATGACAGAGGTTTTCATTACTATGGCATTACACATCTTCATAAAATCCTCACAGGGATGTATGTGCACATGGACTTTGCTTGAAGAAATAGTACTAACTGCTATATATGCTTCACTGTTTTTTTCATGATTCCTTCACTATATCCACAGCAATACATCTTCACTAAAAGACCTATAGACTAACTAGCTTTTACCTATTGCTTTCTCTGAGCAAGACCAAGACTGTGGAAAGACCATCATCACCGTGTAGGTGAGTAGGAGGAGAAGAGGGAGAACTGGACATGATCAGCATATTGCAGGTACTGTAGCACATTGTCTCACTATTTTCCCAACTACTTTACTGGTGTTTTGGCAAGAAAAAGAAAGGCATGTCAAAATCTCCACAGACCTCACATCCAATGACCACTGCAGAAGGAAAAGCTGCACAGCTTCTCTCTTCATACATACAAAGGGTATCTAAAAGCATTTAAGGCAATGTCATTCTTTTGTACCATGATCAGTATTATGGCTGAACTAAAAACCTGAAATATGTCAGTTGCTACTGAAGCTGTTTTGGCACAACTCACTACAAAACTTTCTCCAAACAAAAACAAGAGCAAACAATAGCTGGCAAAGACACTAACATTACAATATTTTTCTCAGAGCTGTCATGGAGCTCAGCTTTTTTAAGATTGCCAAGAGTCTGCCTCCTGGTTAGAAAAACATTATTATATCATCTAAATAGGTTAAAAAGTGAATTATAAACATAAGCAAGCAGCAGGTGTGGTATTAGCAAAAAAGGTCAAACACTGACTTTCACAGATTCAGGGTAATTGATCTTTTCTTCGAATAGATTTCTTATGAGAACTTCCTTTTATCTGAAAACTGTAGACATCCAAATTCCCTGAAACCCAGTCTGGAATAATTGCCAGAGTTTAAATATTATAATTTAAAGATGAGGTATGGGGAAAAAAAAAATCAGTGACTTTGGGAACCTAATCAAAACTTGAATTTCCTGTTATATATATTTATAGGAGTTACCTTCTACATCTTTATCTGGTGTCAGACAAGTTTGGTTGTCTGAGTTCTCATCTGGAAACTGAGAGCAGTCAGTATCTTCTGGCCACTGCAGACCTACAATCCCAAGCACAGACTCACAGCGTTCCTTAGACTGTACACACAATGTCCTGAGGAGACAAAGTAGAATTGCACAAAGTAACTGAGTGAAAGTCTTAGAAATTCCCAGTTATTGGAAGTTAATAATCCTAGCCAAAGTTAAAGATGAAGATCAAGGAAAAATTGGTTAATCAGATTTCTTTACATAAAAAAATATATATATCAAAAGGCACGTTGCTGCTGTTGAAACATTAAGTCATTGTATGTACGCTATTACCTGAGTTATAACATAATAGCCAAATATAACTACTTACAAACATCCTCTCCTCTGTAAGGGATGGCAGAGAACCTTTTCTAAGAAGCACTAACTATCCTCCTTCAGGAAAAAAAGCCAAATACATTTTGTACCAGTGAAATGCTACCTCTTCCAATGATGCTACCTCAGAAAACACGTGGTTTCAGAAGGACAGAATATTTAAAGCTGCAAACTAAAGAGCAAAGAACCCCCCAGGGAATTCAATAAAATTAAAAGTTTGGGGAAAATCAAAGCACAGATCAACCTAGTCTTGAGGGTGTTGTCAGGTAGAGCAACAGAAGCTTGTATCATACCTGGAAAAAGGCATGAATACAGTCCGCACGCTACACATTATTTTTTACCATAGAAAGGCAGGACTCACCACAGAAAAATAGTTCAGTCCATCTAGATTAATATCCTGTCTCTCAAAATATCCAATGTCAAATGCTTCAAAAGTACAAACAGAAAATGCATAACACAAAAATCCCCTATTATTTTAAGCATTATTTTAAACATTTAGCAACTACTTTTGCCTGGAATTATAGCTGATGTGCTGTTCAGTACCATAGTAGTCTTGTATCTGTGCTATTTTGAATCCATGCTTGTTTCAGCTGCCTCTCTTTTTATTTTTGTGGAATATTGCCTAGGCAGTACGGGATTAGGAACCTCAACATCCTTTTCACCTCTTCCTCCAAACAGAAATATGCATCATGCTTAACAGGTATTTGTCTAAGCTGTTCTTAAAAACTCTTCAGTTAGCAAGACTTCATATACTTCCTTATCACTCATTCTTATACACAGGTATCTATTATTTTCCTTATATCTGACCTATAGCTCTTCTGATGTACTTTAAAACCATTGCTTCCTGGTTTAACATCAGTGAGCATGGTGAACAACTTATTTTCTCACAGAAGCTCACTTTTACCTCTTTGAAGGCTATGATGTCTCCCCAAGTCTCCTCTTCTTTCTAGACTCAGCAACTTATTTAATTGCAACTTTTAGATCATATTTTCTAAACCCATAATAATTTGGACTTTTGCCTACCGTTTCAAAGAAAATTCTCCTTTCTTCTGAACGGCTGAAAAATATTCAACAGTAGAATACCACTCATTTCTATTTTTTTTCAGTTTCCTTCATGTCACTTTTAACTAGCCTTTTATTTAATTTGATTAATTTTTCCAGATTTCTCTTCTGGGAACAGACACTCCTTTCATGGAAGGCATTTTATTCCACTCATTTTCCTTTGATCTTTTGACCTATGGACCATTTTTTTTCCTGCAATAACCTTCAAGAAATGCAGTGACCAAATCCAAGCAAACAGATCCATTTAGGATCAATTATTTTATGTTCTTTTGTGAAAACAATCCATTATTAATCTTCTCAAATTTAATCTTGTTTTGGGGGACTGCATGAAGAAGAATTAATGCTTTTCCACACCAAATCATTCACCATTGACTTGAGCAGCTGGAAGGAATGGATGAATGGATTGACATTGGTTAACCATGACGCAGTTACAGACTCTCTCTTTCCTTTTAGATCCTCCTCAATATCAAAAAGATTGATTCACACCACTTCATAACCTCAGCTTTCTGAATGCCAGATGTTTTATTTGCCAATGTCAAAACCCCAAAATCAATAACAATAATATGATTAATATATTTTACAAAATTGATTTTGTTAGCTGAGACATCTAAGTCATGTATGCCCTGTGTTCTCTGCACACTCAAATCTTTGGCCAAAGCTGACCCTTTCCAAAAGCTATTGCAAGCCATTTAGTCATCAGTCTGTGGTGAAAGAATTAAAATGTAGATAATCTTCAAAGTAGTGCCCATCACAGCACACAAAGAAGCCTATTGCAATACTGCTAGGAAAATTGGAAGAGCAAATGGTACTTTTATAAATTTTTTTTAATCCTTTCCACATTCCCATACTGAGTCTCACAGATGGGGTATCAGAATACCTTGGTAACAGACTTCTTTATTTACTTCTCAGTCAAATTTCATCTGTAGTACTGTCTATGAACCAGTCTAACAAGTTAATGGTTAACAAGAGTACACATCACAAGGCAGACAAATCTCCCCCTTTTTGGTAAGAGAAAGAAATACAAGGTTAAAAAAAAATAAAATATGTAGAATAGAAACGTGTAATTTTCTGCAGTGGAATTCAATCTAGCACTTTTTTAGGAACATTAAACATATTTAGCAGTTAACTAAAATATCTCTTTAATCTTCCAATTCAGATACAGTAATGGGATGCCTAAATTAATGCCAACACATAAGGGGCATGAGATTTGACCAGGATTATCCTTCATAACATGTCTGTCACAGTTACGAAACAACACCAAAGTCAGCTGGAGACTACTTAAATACACAGATAGTGTAATCCCCATGTCATTATAGGCTAGCATGACTAGGATATGCCCTACCCAGTGCTAGAACGTGTGGGAATGGTTCAAAGCTGAACCAGGAGCGGTTTAGACTGGACAATAGGAAGCATTTCTTTACTGAGATGGTGGTCAAACATTGGAACAGGCTTCCTAGAGAGGTAGTTGATGCCCCAAGCCTGTCAGTGTGTAACAGGCATTTGGACAATGACTTTAATAATAGGCTTTATCTTGGTCAGCCCTGAACTGGTCAGGCAGTTGGACTAGATGATCATTGTAGGTCTCTTCTGACTGAAGTAGTCTATTCTATTCTATTCAATATATATATTTTGAAAATTATTGAACTGCTATTCCTCTCCTTGTTTTGAATACTTCAGATACTAATCACACACATGTAATAAACTGCATTTAATAATCTTACAAAATATTATTCTCTACCTTTTGCTATGTAATTTCAAAGAAAAATTTCTGGAATTTTCAATGGAAACAGAAAATTGGGAAAGACTAATATGACAGACAATGTCAGTCAAGAATTAAATGAAGTATAGTATAGTACCTGCAAGGTGGGATCCGCTGATTTGTATGGGGGTCACATTTTGGTACTAGGATTGTACAGGCAAAAAACATAAGGTACTTGTAGCAGTTGGTCTGAACCAAGGCTGGGAAAAGGGAAGACTCCCAGCTGATAGAGGCTTCCTTCTGCGTCCTGTGGCCCAGGTAGTTTGGGTAATAAGTATAGTTGTAAGGCAAGTTCATGCAGAGTTCCAGAGTAATTGGTTCACACTGACCTTTCACAGGAGAAAAAAAAAAAAAAAAAAAAAAGAAATGGTGTGAGATTAAATGAAATACAGAAGAAATAATTAAATAAGTTTTTTAACAAATTTATCAGTCAGGGGATTTCCTCTCAGGCTTGAGGAACTACAAGTTTCAGAGCTCGAGACCCCATGAGTCTATTCATACCAGTAAAGAAAGGTGGGTTCAACCTCTGCCTACCTAACAGCCTATTCACAGACTTATATTCCCTTACCAATATGCATTAACTTCCTGAGTAACATCTTAACATGGTACCATAAACCATTCTTTAAAACCAGATTTACTCTTTTCAAATCAAGTTTCTGATGATTTTCAAGACCTCCTGTGCCGTACAGCAACACACTCCCTACTGGTGTACACACCTCACACTGGCAGGGCAATTGTCAAAATTAAGAACACTGGGATCACAGGATACTTTGGGTTGGAAAGGATCTCAGGAGGTCTCTAGTCCAACGTCCTGCTCAAAGCTTGGTCGCCTCTGAGGACTGATCTTATTGAGTCAGGTCTTGAAAACTCTCTAATGACAGAGACTGCACAATTTCTCTGTATAGAAAGCAGAAGGCAGGATTATTTTTTTTTTTACCCCAAGATCTGAAGGAAGAATGGGGACAATTAGCTTATATATTGCACAAACACTGAGTAAGAGACAGTCTACATGCTAATAATTTCATTATCAATTATGTCTTATCTGAATTAAGAGAATGATAAGCAAGAGCAAAATAAATGCAACAGCTACCAGTCTATATAATTACACAGAGTATAGCTATATACAAAAATCATCCAGCTTTTGGGTGGTATATCCACCACAACAGAAAACAACAGGCAGAATTTCATTTCAATTCAGACTGAAATTTAGCTTTTTATTTAGGACTGAGACCAGAGTGAAATTATTACATTTGATTTACTTTTGAAATGTGAGAAAATTTTCCATGAAAAAGTGTACTATTCAAAAGTCATTTGCTATTAAAAGACTGCATATATTTGCCTATTCTGGAAGCAAATGTATCTTAACTTGATTAATATTCTCGGCCAGCCAGCTGCTAGTGTCAGTTGCCAGCCCAGTGTGGCAACCGTGTTACTGTACAGCTGGATCTTTGAGAGGAATTTGAAAGAAGATCCAACAGCCAATTATTCAACTGATCAGTAGAACGGGCCAGCCTTTCTCGGACTGGCATTCCCTGTTATAACCTCTTTCAGTATTTACCTCTAATCCGAGGATCACCAAGCTCATTTTATATACAGCTTTCCCTCTCTACTAAATCCTTGCATACTGCCAATACTGAACTATTTCTGTTGTTCCAGACCACTTAGTCCCAGCTTTGGGGCATACGAGGTTCAAAGAGTTCAACAATCCTCCTCACATTACTGCCATTTCCTTTTCTTCACAGTTTCCCTTGTCCTCCCACACTTCAGCCCCAGATGCCCAGGTTTTGTCTTTTGATTTTTCCCCAGTAAGCATCTTTTCTTGATGTGTACAGAATATTATGTGTTCATCAGTATTCCATGATGAAACCCAGGTAAACGAACACAAAAGTACACACGATGTTCTAAATGTTTGTATAACATAACATTACTCAAGACTAAAGGGTAGAAATGCACATGCATCGTTCTCTCTTTTGCTATGCCTCACATTTACAGGGGTTTAGGTCAACTCCAGAAGAAAATCTAGTCCACTGAAATGCCCCTGTAGGGTAGCTCTTTACATGTTTTTAATATGGTTGCAATTTTCACACTGTGTTTAGGCAGCTTCTATTACATTACATGCAAAAGTGTCATTGTAGGTTGGAAAAGAACAGCTTTGACTCTCACACCCGATTCCCTACAATCCACAAGCAGAGTAACAAACAGAACATACACTCCAGGGGAACATCTGACTGAATTTAAGTAACCCAAATGTTAATCTTTCCTTTTGAAGTCTGACCTACAGTTTAAGAGACCTTGCTATGCCCTTATTTACAGTATATGTATATACAAGCTAATGAGTGGGGAACCAGGAAAAAAATCAATCGCATCTTTTATCCTAAAAAAAAGAACCAACCAAACAAAAAAACCCCCACAGGTTATGCCTGGGTTTAATATCTTCATGTATTTATTATTAACTTGTTCTATCTACTATATAGGAATTAGACCCAAACATAGTAACAGAAGTAAATGAGATATTTCACAGAATCATAGAATGGCTGAGGTTGGAAGGGACCTCTGGAGGGTCATCTGGTCCACCCCTCTGCTCAAGCAGGGCCACCTAGGGCTGATTGTGCAGAACATGCCCAGACAGCTTTTGACTGTCTCCAAGGATGGAGTCTCCACAATCTCTGTGGGCAACCTGTGCTCCGTAACTCTCACAGTAAAAAAAAGTGTTTCCTTATGTTCAGAGGGAACCTCCTGTGTTTCAGTTTGTGCCCACTGCCTCTGGTCCTGTCACTGAGCCCCAAAATAGTCTGGCTATGCCTTTTTTACACTCTGCCTTCAGATATTTGTTCTATTGTACTAAATATGTTGTAACTAAACTGATCAGACATTATCACACATGGAGAACATCTGTCATATCCAATATTGCAAAATGTGGCCTATGCTTTGGAATTTTCCAACCAAAGAGTTATTTGGGCCAGAAAATAGTGCTTTGTCAAAACTGAAATTTTCCACAGGAATTCTCATCTCTTACCAAAGATTAAATAACTCTGGTCAAAACATTAACAGCAAAAATAACATGAAAACAGACAATTGTACTTCCAGATGTTACAGAAGAAAAATCTCTCCCAAATTCTCTTGCTGTTCCATTGTGCATGAACAATTCAATATTCACTGGACCAGGAAGGGAGAAAGAAAGATGATCCAAAAGTCTAATTCAGATTATGTGTTACTCCTGTTGAGAATTATGGACTGTTGCCTGTAACATGATGAGGAAATGTCTTCACTAAAAAGCTCTTGGGTTTCTCATGACATGGAATCCGAACTTTGTTTTGGAACCCAATATGACATGTCAAAAAATGTTTTTCACGGCCTTGTAACATAGTCCTAGCCACTCAAATGTTTTCCAAAATTGCTGTCCATACATACAATGGGATACAAAAATCTGCATTGATCAGGAAAAGATTTTTGATCACAAGACAAACAGTATGTCTCGTACCGATTTATCCACAAAGAAGATGAGTCCAAGAAAGAAAGTGCACTTTCGGTTCTCTCTTACTGTGAGAAAGACTGAACTGCAGTCACACTGCTTGAAAGACTGTTGCCTTTTACAGGACTGTAGTTGCTGTTTATGAAAGGTAATTTGTCGAAAAGACAAGTGCTCCCTGTGTTCATAAGAACCAGAGGCTACTGTGCAAATTTATGTATTTTCCTCCTTGTTGGGTAAGGCTGCTGCTGGTGCCTTGTTTGCCAGCCAAATAGAGGACCTGTCTTATGCATGACTGGTGACTACACAGCCACCAGCTGTGACTCCAATGTTGATCCTGTCACAATATATCAGATACCTTTTATGTGTTCTTTACTAAGCAGTTTAAGTTACAAGTATTTAAAAATAAATAAAATTACAAAATCTGTATTTTTTTGACCTGAGTAAACATAAAGTTGCTACAGTCTTAAACATATAAACCAGGGTTTAGTGTAATGCCTGTTAAGTTTTGGAAGCATTATGAGTAAAGCAGCTTTGAAACAGCACATAGAAATATGGAAGCCCCCATTCCTGGGTAAACTGCAGTTTTGTGGCAAAGTCAGTAATGCTCAAATAAAAAAGCCAAATCTTCAAATGGAGAAACTGAGAAGCAACACCTGTACTTAGAGGCACAGGATGCTAAAGCTGCTGCTTCTCCTGCAGGCACAGAGACCTGGGGCTAAATATCCTTCACTCCCATGAGCCTTCAGCTCACAGAGAGTCACTCTTATCATACACATTTAAACTTGTGACTGGCTAGAGTGGAGTTGTTCAAGTCAGTAATTATCTGGACCTTAAAACATCAGGGAACTATGACCTTCAAATGTCACCAAAGAAAAGATTACTTGAAGAACTGTTTTCTTTGGAGATGCCAGGTTGTTGTGATAGCTCATGTTTGATTTCTCCTTGATTAGTGTATGTATCCCAAGTTATATTGCTTCCTTTTCATCAGGAGGGGAAAAAACTCCCATGGGAGATAATATCTGACCACGAATTGCAAGACACAGAGGAGAAAATGACCGAGGTAATTCAATCAAGATATCTGAGATTTGTCCAACCAAAAGAATTTTAAATTTAAATTTAAATTTTATTAAAAGTTTAAAAAAAATGAAGAGGATTGTTATTAGTTTTGTGTTATATGGGTACCTTCCTTCCCATTTCATAAACCCTTCTAAATATTTCTTGAGGGAGAATCATGGTTTGGTTCACAACAGGTAAGTAAAAAAACCCAACACCTACTACTCCAATCACGTTATAAGGCTCCTTCTCACCTGAATAGCTTGGTTAAGGTTATGGATCAGAGGACAGACCTACATAGGTGACGTACATAGTAGGCATCTGCTGCATACCACCTTAGAAAAAAGAGGAGTAGACAAACCCTTCTTCAGAGAGCTGGAAGATGCCTCATGCTTGCAGGCCCTGGTACTTGTGAGGATTTTAATCATGCTGATATCTGCTTGAAGGACAGCAAGTTGGTCTTAATGGAGAACCTCCTCAGAGCACAGGAAAAGCCCATTCCAATGCAAAGCAAGTCAAGCAAGTGTGGCATAAGGCCATCTTGCCTGAATGTGTATCTCCTGACTGAGCTCAAACACAAAACCAGAAATATACAGAAGACAGAAGAGGGGACAGAGCACTTAACTGGAACATAGAGACATTTGGCGAGTGTACAAGAATGGAGTTAGAAAAGCCAAAGCTCAGATAGAGTTGAAACTACCAAGCAATGTAAAGGGCAAGAAGGAGGGCTCTTGTAAGCACATTGGCAGCAAAGGAAACATAAGAAAAATGTGGGTCTGCTGTTCACTGGAGCAAGTGAATTAGGGACCAGGGACATGGAAAAGACCAAGGTACTCAATGTCTTTTCTGCCTCCGTTTCCACTGAGGAATGCCATTGGAAGGCTGCTTTAGATCATCTTCAAAAGGTCACGGTAACCCTGGCACCTGACGACTGGAAAAAGGCAAACATCGCATCCATCTTTAGGAAGGACAAGAAGGAGGATCCAGGGGACTACAGTCCAGTCAGTCTATCCTCAGTCCCCAGGAAGATTATGGACCAGTTTCTTCTGGAAGACATGTCCACACGTGAAGGAAAAAAGGTGACTGGGAACAGCCAGCATGGATTAATCATGGGAAAATCATGCCTGATTAATCTGATTGCTGCCTCTGACAAGATGACTGGCTGTCATTCCCTTTTATTCAGCACTGGTGCATATCTGGAGTCCTGGTTTTTGGCTCCCCAATTCATGAAATACATCCACATACTGGAATGAGGTCAGTGGAGGGCCACCAAGCAAGTTAGGGGACTGGATCACATGATCTACAGGCAAAAGTTCAGAAAAGTGAATTTGTTCAGCCATCAAAAAGGAAGGCTAAGGGGACATCTTATTGCTGTTAACAATTACCTATTGCGAAGGTGTAAAGCAGACAGAGCCAGAGTCTTAGAAGTGCACAAACATATATGGAAAAAAGGTTTTTACTATGAGAGCAGCCTAACACTAGAGCAGGTCTGCCAGAAAGACTGTGGAACCTCTGTCCTTGGAGATACTCAAAACTCAGCTGTAGAGGGTCATGTGCCAAATGACTTAATTGGCACTGCTTTGATGAGCAGTTTGGACTAGTTGACCAAAGGTGTGAACTTACTTCCTTCTAATGCTACTTACGATTTTCCCTTTTCAAAAATTTAGGAGAAGCATTGACAGAAGCACCTGTAAAGCCCTTATGCCCAAGTATCTTGTATCTTTACTTTAGTAGCATGAATGGTGCCTGTCTCAAACAAGCCTGACTCACTTATGGGTGACAGTCACAACTTTAGAGAGACTGTGGACTTTGGACTATTTGGCCTTCCCATATCCATTCCAACCTAAATGGAGTAACGTTATCCAAACAAGCTACCATATAGTACCAAACCATACCTTGCAGACACAACTGCTCAGCACAAAGCAATTATAGGATATGTCTACACATTCATATGTACACGAAGGCAAGCCTGCTCATGCGCCAAGGTGACCTGAACTGATGAGGCTGTGTTAACACATCACCAAGTTTTAATTACTTCTGAATACAGTTCTGCTCCAGTTTCAAAACCTAGCCAAATATACTTCTTTTGAGTATCTGTTCACAGTGCTGCATTGCACAAGTGAGAGAGCAAGCTACTCAGTAGCAAGTGCATGGTGGGTACAGGAGGCTTGCATGGGGTGGTATAATACAGGACATGGAAATGAAGACACGCAGTGTTGAAGACCCTGATCCTTTACAATACGTATTGGTCAGAAGAATAACTAGTTTTGCCAGTTTGAATATCAAAATTAGTCCTTCATAAAAGGGCTAAAAGTTCTCCAGACTACTAAACACAGTACCATGTTTTCTTATATTTTGAAAATAAACCAGTAGCTTCTGCTTTACACTTACATTGTGTTGTTTATGTAAACATTGAATGCCATTAAATGTTAAGGGAAAGTGCAACTGTAAACACCCATTAAGAATGTATCAAAAATTCACTGGAGGGAAAATATCTCAATGTCAAAAGTTATGAGCATCTTTTTAGTACATCAATAATCAAGAGTTATGATGAAACTTTTGTTTCAACTTTGCGCTTTTCAATACTTAATCATTACACATGTGCATTAGCTAGTAAATTAAAGTATTACTTACTGTGTCCTACCCTGCGTCCTCGTCATACTCTAAAACACCTTAAAACAGTGACAGTATGAAGCATGTGACCTACTTACTGCAGTTTGTCTGGCTGTTTCTCATCTCACAGAGAGAAGTTCCACAGGGATCAGGACATGAAGTACATCTCTGGTCTCCCTCCTGACAGAGGATTTGACCTGAGGAAAATAGAAATTTACTATTCTATTTATTTACCAGACTAATACACATGACTGTAGGGTAGTGATGAGAAAATACAGTTTACATTACAATTAAGTATTTGCTTTACTTGGTTGTACAAGTACCCTACAGCACTTCAAGTGCAGTAAGAAAGTGTTGTAAGGAAGAAAAGTGTGCAGCACTGCCCAGATGTCACTTTTCTTTACCCCTATGTTTAATATTAATATTTATGTCCCAGATTCTGAATGAGAGGTATGGATCTCTGAAGACATTTACCATGATCCTCTGGCAGAGTGTTAAAAGTCATGTAAATCAGATTTCAAAGGGAACAATAGGTCCTAGCTGAAAGAGAATACCCTCTGGGAATTATTCTTCAGTGCCATTCAGTTGATCTGCTTCTCATTTTATGATTGTTTTGGTGGATAATAAAAACCATCCTGAAGAAAGGTCATCAGGGCTGAAGCTTTATTGTTTTTCTTTGGCTGGTTAAAAAACAAAGAACAACAACAAAAAGAAACCCAAAAGGCTATGGTCCTAAAGATGGAATTCAGAATAACCAAAACCAGCACTTCATCAAAAAGTTTCTGGAGCACATTACCTGGGCAGTTAGTTTCTCTGGCAAACCCCTGGACTTCTCTCTGTCACATAGTGATGATAGCTCCTTTCCAAACCACTAAATTCTCTCTTCCATATGACTTTTGCAAAATCAGTCATTTAATTTACTGTTCTGTACACACAGACTGAACAGTTTGGATTTTATCACCTCATCCCATTTAAAATGGTTTATTGCAACTATTGTTTAGAGTTGGTATTGCACTACTGTCCACAAAACATTAATGATTCAGTCCTGGCATCTTTCTATTTGGCAAACAGAAGATGCTGAAGAAACATCTTGTTTCAATGACCTTGACAACAACCTTGTCCCAAAGAACTGATGATGTAGTCATATAATTTCATAGTAATGTGGATTTACTTCCCTTCATGCATGTTATATATTGAAGCAATGGAGGTACTTTCTTTTGCTGTACCAATTGACTGTCTTATTTTACAGGTGGATCTGACTGCAAAATTGAACTTGAAAGGTAGGGAAAACCTTTTAACTTCTAAAGCTATCACAGATCTTTGCACTAAAATTCATTTTTAAAGTTTGCTCCAACTCCTTCCTATCCCACAGTGGGAGAGTTTCTAACTCCATAAAAATCCCTGTGTAGATTCTTTTGATCCTAGCACAGTCAATGCTGAATTTCTATAATCACACTCTACCCTGTCTTTTGAAGGGATCACAGAACCAGCTGCCAGTACATCTTTACTAGATTTCTATTGTCACAAAATTAACGACAGCACTGGTGTTAATAGATGCCATACCTTGAATTTCCTTAAGGTATGTAGTGAAGGAGAAAATTTTTCTCATTCGGATATAGATGAAGCAATGGTCATTTGTAATTCTCGTATGTATAAGTTTGTACTATTACACAAGGTCCCTTTATCCTTATATAGGCAAGCTGTAAGTCACTACATCTTGACCTCAAATTCTATGCTGATTTCACATATTTACTGCATTTTTAACAAAACCAATATTCCAGGTCACTTCAGCCCTAACTTCATTGCCTCTGCTAGGCATATCCAAATTATTTGATTTGTAGAGAAGAAAAGTCTTTGTGTTAATTGTATGTCCTATTACATTTTCTGTAGTTGCTGAAATCAACAACATACATAAGAAATACAAAACAGAGTTACAAACAAGAATTCTGCCTTGCTTTAACACAGACTTTGCAAGGAACTAAAGAGGAATAATCCAAATGAAGTCCAAAGTCTGCCTACAAATGCAAATTCAGGACAGACAGGATATGGTTGCATAAAGGAAGAATTTTGCTCTACACAGTACTGCAAAATATTAGTGTCTTTTGCACATTGAAGAACGAATAATAAGAACACGGAAAACTTTCATATTTAAAAGCTTTTCAGTTTAATGCTAAGCGGAAAAATCTTTTAGTATATAGTGAGACCATTGACTACATAATTACCATCCCATCCCACTCCTCTGCATTTATTATCCTTGAATCTATATCTGTTCATCTTACCAAAAAAAGATTTTTAGCTGTTTCTTCAACATCCACAGAGGCAAAAAGCAGGGAAGAAATCCCACATCACTGACTTCTAGCCCAGATCATGCATCAACATTTTCACTCAAATTCTCTTTTACTGGTGATAAACAAATTTACAAGACCTAAGTTGGATGAATTTTAAAACTTGAAATGGTTGCTTATAGAATGCTCTAAATAGTTTTGTATTTTTCAATTTATCCCATTCTCCTCCCTCATCTCTTTTATATTAAAAATGACAGTTTCATTATCAGCAAGAGAAACAGAGGATGATGGAATTCATGAGGTAACACTGGAGTTGGACATCAGGAAAGATGAAGAATAAAAAATGAGTATTTTGTGATATTGCAGAGTCAGAACTAAGGACAAAACTTGGTCCTCAGTTTTTAGACTGTCACAGTCAGAACTGGAAGAAATTTCATATGAGGCCTTTTTGCAACGTCAACATTAATTGCGAAAAGAATAATGGTAATTTCTGTGTTTCAACTTCTTGGTTATTTTTTGGAATGCAGATGTTTAAATTGGAGTAGGAAGATCCAGAGAACTTAATATGAACAGAAGGGACTGATTAGACATGCGTACGAAAGGGTTTCTTCTAGACTAGTTTCCTAAAGAAATGAGGCTTATATAATCACACTCTGTATTTATCTTATGATAGCAGGTCTAGTTTACTCCAATAACTTTTGAATTGGTTGTCCTATTACCACGACATCTGACAGCACTGAAGTTTTCTAAATAAAGTCAATTCCTTTAGTTTCTTAAAAGTAAGATTAATAAGAGAAAGACAATAATTCTCACACTGAAGGAAAGGCTGCAATCTCAGCCTATACCTTACCAGAAACAAGATAATTACATGTGAAAAATACCTTCAAATGCCTAAACCATCAAAACACAACAATATCTCTTTCTGACTATCAAAATGTACCACAGGACACAAGTCTCTGTGGAACCATGTTCTGGGGCTCAAGAAACTGCCTGCTTTGCTTTTCTTTTCAATCCATCATGAGACAGATATTAAGTAGCTGTGAAAACTTACATTCGAATATATTTTCCCTTAGTCATACGAAATCATTGGTTTACTTATGAAAACATATACTGTGATAGTAGCTTCTAATTGCTGCAGACAATGTGAATATCTATTAATTTATTTCCAGTAACAGCTGATCATGTCAGATAACCAAATACTATGCTAAATATCACCTCCATTTCTTTAACTTTTTATATTTTTAAGGACTAATGAAACTCTGCTTACAACTTCCTGTGTGAAAACAAACATTGACCAGCCTTTGCAAGTGTTATTTGAAAGCCAAAGAAAGTAAATTTGTCACACAGCTTTAGCTAAAGGCATTTCAGAACAAAGCAGTCAGTGTTAGGTTCAGTAAGAAGAGTAAAATGAGGGATATCCTTACTTTCACTGCAGTTTTCTTCATCACTTCCATCTTTACAGTCATTATCTCCATCACACTGGAATGCACTAGGAATGCACTGCCCATTTCTACACTCCACCAGGCCCTGACTATGACATGCTAGAGAGAAAAAAAAAAAAAGATAAGATGATATTCTGATCAACTTAGGTTAATGAAAGTCTTAATTATTTTTTAATATAATCTTGAAGTTATTTAGGAGGGGATAATAACACTGCTTAGCACTGAAGGTGACTAGACATTTTTCATTATCTGTAGGCTATGTTTTCAATAGCCTACAGTTGTGCTGATCTATAACTTACAGAGACTGAAACTACATATGTCAGGTATTAGAAACAGGCTGAGATGAAGGTTCAACTTTTCCAAGAAAAAAACCCTATCATTTTTACTCTTTTAAAAATTGTCACCTTTTCTTTGCTAACTCACTTACATTCCTTTATTCAGATTAGGTTGTAATGTCAAGCACTGAATGGCCGCAAGAATCAAAGCAGCATAAGCATATGTCTTATGAGAACCTTAATCACATTAAAACATGCTAGTTCCCGAAGGCCTGATTTTGCAACCTCAGCAATATTCCAGTATAGTTGTTTTGCAGATATATACCATCACCACTGCAGCAGACAGAAGTCCAGACTCTGACAAAGTGGGATAAGTCACATACAGACACATCAGAAAGCTGTCACAAACTCAGAATACCTACAGTTTAAGAGGTTATATACATTCATTCATTACTCCTTAATGAGAACATTACAATTAACAAAAAGCTAATTCTGTAATTAACAAGAAGCTGAAACACAAGGTAATGCTGGTACTTCTCAACAATGGCAACAAACATTTAGTTTGGCCAGCTGCATACCAGAAGGAACATTTGTCAAGTGTGAACTTCTGAAATCAAATAAGCTTATAGTTTTGCCATACAAGTAATAAATAACTATACTACTTATCTTACATTTTGGTTTTTTTATTTTTAAAGAAAGAAAAAACTAATTCAGAGATTAAGGGAACTTACAGCAGTTGATTTCATCTGATTTGTCTATACAGTCATGGTCACCATCACATACCCAATCGCCTGTTATACATCTCCCATCTCCACACTGATGATGTGTCACTGGATTACAGTCTAAATAAAATGCAAATTTGAGGACAAAAAAAAGGACGATATGTTACCACTGGTATAATTTATATTATTTATCAATTGTTCTATGCCTATAAGCTAATCATACTTACTAATGAGATATTTTGCATTAGTAAATTACAATAAGAGATTTTCTGTAACTGCAGATTTTTTTTTCAGATGGTAGTTACATATATTTGGAATTCTATTGCCTATGTAGATAGTGATGCACTCATTCCTTCTCTCAGGTGCACAGTTGTTTCCATTTGCAAACAAACAAGTTTCTAAAATTTGTTAAGCAGATTAAAAGATCTTCTGGCTTCTCATCTCATGGAATGATTTTCAATTAGCCAACATTTTCAGTAGCCATCAGAGAAAAACATTCCCTACATTTATCTTTCTACTAAGAAGCAAAAAAAAAAAAAGTTTCTCAACTGGCACTTAATCAGAAACAATGTTTTTTGCATACACTCAGAATTTTCCATAAGCATTATCTACAAAGAAACTATTCCCATCTTTATCTTACTCTTCCTACCCAAATGCTTCCACAAATAAAGAAAAGCAGGCTGACTTTGCACCAAAATAAATTTGGAGTATAGACACAGTCCAGTCTGCCAAATCTGCTATGACACCCATTTATACCCTGTGCAAAAAGTTAGGTCTTAAATTTTAGGTAGAAAAAACTATCTGAAGATAGGAATGGTAGCAGTCAGATTAATGTTTAAAAAAATCTTTACTCAAAGATCGTTTATGAAAAAAAAAACCACAAAACAACCAAAATGACAAAAAGTAGTGAGAGATCTTAGAGTATGTTTAACTTGGAGAAGAAACATAAAACAAATCTCAGAAAAAAATTGTGCCTTGATTGTTCATTTTGAAATTCTCTGTGCTTTTCCTTAGAAAAGCAAAATAAAAAAGCGAGAAATAATTTTTTAACTTTTAAAGAATTATTTTAGAGCACTTAATTTTTCTCAGGTGTAGTACCAGAAGCAAAAGTTAGAAAAATAAAGGCTTTCAAAGTTTTCCAATATTTACACGTGAAGATCATCCTTTTTTTATGGCAAAACTTCTTTTTTTCCTATGAAAGTTTAGTGTAGGTAGAAAGACAAATATAAGGGGGCAGAGCATACGAAGTTGATTGAAAACAGAATTTGAAAGAAACAGAATTTGATTATCAAAACATGCAAGTTCACTATGAAGCTTATGTAAAAACAGTTCAGCTATAAAATAGTTGGCATCACCAGTGTAGTAGCCTCTTATGGTTTGCTTTCACCTCAGTTAAATTCAGCCAAGTTAGCAAGAAAGCAACCATAACATCTTGAAGCAGTTTAAACCAAATTGCAAATCAAAGTATTTCTTCAAAATACCACTACCTTCAAAATTTGGATTAACCCAGAACTCTCCTTTAAACCTTTACAAATTGTATATAGAATTTGTGAGCTGTTTTTACTTTGCCCAAAAAGAATAACAGCAGGTTATATTACTATTTTAGCAGTTTACTGGAAAAGATTGCTGGCTTAGGCAACACTGCTATCTTAAAGACTTTAGAAAAGCATAAAACTTTCATTTACCACAGTTTTGTTCATCGCTAAGGTCTCCACAGTCATCATATCCATCACAAACAAAGGTATAATTTAAACATTTTCCTGTGTTGCAACGAAAAACATCATCACTGCAGTCTACAAAACAAATTTTTGTAAAATGTTAACATGACATTGGAACATTCATATAAACTTGAATGTATTGACTAAAACAAGATTAGCTAAAGATACCCTAAAATTTGCAGGTGTGCATTAATACTCAATGCGTACCAGTTTATTAGAATCTAATATGGAAGAACAAGAAAAATCAAAAGCAATTTTTAGACATTTTTATTCTGTTCCTACCAATTGTTTTTTTGATCAATACCATGAGGAGAAAGCACTCTGGTTCGCATATGGCCCAAATGTTTAATTAATTTATACACATAAAATTATTGAGAAAGGTTGTGGGTTTCATCGGCTAGATTACTAGGACAGTCTTGAGCACCTGGTATGCCTATTAGGTGGAGCTGAAGCTTCTAACAGCAAAATCAAGATCCCCAGATCCCGCTTCTGAGCCTACCTTTGATCTTACCATGGTTCCAAGTGAGCTTTATGCTTTATGCAATTTTGAGCTCAGAATTTGGTCTGATGCCGTCTCATCAAGGAATTCTTAGCATTGTCAGCCTGAAGTTGGTTTAGCCTTTCTTTTCACAGCTGAGGCCTTCAGTAAATCCCTGATAAATATTCTCTGACAATATCCAAAAAGCTCGAATAATATCATGTTTGACAAAACAGGGAATCTACTTTGTAGTTAGGAAAGGGGGGAGAAGAGAAAATAGGGTTGGTGTTGTCTGGTCCCATTAGTAATAATTTTTGATTACAAACATGCAGTTGGGAAGTGGGTGACCTAGTTTCACTGCTTCCTTCTAGGCTTTTCCTTTACATCTGGCTTTTCCAGGGAGAGTGTCAGGATATAGAACAGCTGGGTGGACAACCCCTCCTTCCTGTTGAAGCTATGCCACTGGAACCAAGGAAGTCCTTTGTGCCCTTTCTTACTGGGATACGTGGGCATTTTAAATGACCTCTTTCCTGGACAGCGTAAAGAAAGATCTCCAAGAGCAGGGACTGGAACACAAGCCTCTCCCCTCAGCTGAGATGCTCAACCACTAAACAATAGAATCATGCTTCTCTCTTGTGTGTGACTCCTGTGTTCACCATTGTGCAGTGGTTCCACTTCAAAAGAAGGGTGTTCTTCTAAGTGTATCGCACACTGAAAGGTGGAGCACTCTCCCAGAAGGTGCAGTGGGGTTTCTATCCCTCCAGATCAATGCCAGCCAAGTGTTCCACCTCCTAGGTGAGTGCTCTAACTTTAAGTTTCTCAAGGCTTTACCAACCTCAGTTCTAGAACCTGAAAATTAATCACTTCTTCCCTTTTCCCCCACAGAACTATCCATGCTTTCTACAAGTTTCATGTCATCTTAGAAACAGAAATTATAGCACAATGCAAAGGACAATGCTTCAGGACATAAAGTAAAAAACCCACAGCTGAGCTATGAGCTTTGTAGTCAATAGTTAATTTAGCTTTAAAAGAACAAAAGGCATGAAACAATAATACCAAAACCCCAAACTAAATGAAAATATTTAAGTTCTAGTTTCATCTAAGCAGAACAATAACTAGCTGAGAGTAGAATTAAACATTACTTGTTTTGAGTATGCAACAGCACAAAATACTCTGGCAACCTTTATCCTTACTGATCAGTTTGTAACTCTCACAGTTTCTATGCTTCCATTGCTCCTCATGCAAATGAAACAAAGCTGCCTTTTTCTGTGTTGTTTCCTCTGGATAAGTTTACTGTTTAATTTCCGTCCATACCCCCATTCCTGTTTACTTTCATACCTCTGTAGCCGCAGCAGTGTCTTTTAAGGTACAGCAGCTCTCAGGCTCACACAGACAAGGTGAACAAAAAGAATACAAACTTCCTTGCAAGGAAATAAAATTCACTTGATAAAAATCTAACAGTCTTAGCATACATTTTCTGCAAGATATTGGCAATAACACATAGTGTAGGGTAGCTAATTACTTCCATCAGAATAAGATGGGCACTTTGCAGCTGCCATTTGTAAAAGGCTCAACTTAAATTTTGTTAATGATGGGACAAGCCCAGTTTTCATAAAATTAAATACAAATTCCTATTCTATACTCCACTAAGCACAAAGCCTGGTCAACCTTTTGCATTCAGCAACCCTTTGATCTCTGTTCATGCGTACCCTGTCTTCACCGCTTCACTATTGCATCATGTGAATGACCTCAGCTCAACACTCAGAGGTGATTTTAGGAGTCCTACATTTTAAAGATGTATGTTTAAAGATATATGTGCAGACTCAATGTACAAATTCTGCCACTTCTGGGAGTAAATAAGACCTTAAATCATTAAGACGCTCTATTGTGGAGCATGACATGCAGTGGCACATGTGTAAACATTTTCTTTTTTATTTTATTACTAAAATGGTCTTCATCTTGTTCACCCTTTGTGAAAGAGAAGTGTGACTGAGAAAGTCACCCAAGGAGGAAGAGGAAGCAAGTGTACATATTAGGGAAGTGCGTGTCTAAGTGCAGCCGCAGGGATGTAAAAGAGCCTGTTTGGGCACTGATAACGTATGCATTTGTAGATCAGTGTTACAGCTTCTTTCCTGTTCATACTCCTATGCAATAGCTGGCTGAGCTGAATTCTGATTCCTCAACTGGTTTCCTTCCATTGCACAGAGTCACAGAGTAAATGGTCTAAGATGAAATCCTAAATACCAGTTTTGGGCTGCAGCTGTGTAAACAAGTGACCCTGCTAAGTAAATTAAACTATACTTTCAAAAAGAGGGATGGATTCTGCTAAAGCCTAACTTTTGTCTGCATACTTATTATGGCCCACCAAATGGAAGAAGAGAAAAATGCACATCAAGAGCCAGGAACAGGGAAGTGATTGAATCATGTGATCAATTTCTTGATGCAGAATCCTGAAAAGAGATTCTAGGAAGAACTATTCATATGAAAAAGATTAAAAACAGAGACTTCTACATTTCATAATGTTTATAATTTTCAACATTAAAACTAAGGAGGCACAGCAGTAAGAATCAGTCATGTAACTTTAGACATTTACATCATTTAGTTTCTAAAGCACATAGCCCATTTAAAATATCTGCTTAAAATCAGACAAATCATGCATGAGAGGTTTCTGTTTCTCTCAGCTGATTCTCTATTCAGCCAGTTTAGACATCTGGCTTAGATAAAGTCACCTGCATAGGGACAGACAAATCCCTCCCTAACATATGTAACTTCATAACTAAAAAACAGAGACATCTCTCCAAACTGGTAGCATCTAAACCAAATATAAGTCGTCCTGTATTTTGGGATTGCAGTTGGCAAAAGCTGCAACAGGAGCCTGGACACCCCAGGGAATGCCTCTGGATACATTTAGGGTTTTTTTACTCTGGAATTATGAACCAAACCTGACTGAGCAGTACCTTTAAGACCAAAGGTATTGAGGTGAATGGGCTTCATCCCTTGTCACCTCATCCTGCCATCAAAGGAGCTGATCACAGCAGTACAAGCACAAATCAATGCACTCACCAGGTTATTGGAATTGGCACTGAAGCAGCAGACAAGCAAGCTGCTCTGCTGTTACTGCAGCCATCTTTTCTTTAACAAAAATGGGGGAGAAAATGTAGAGATGGATAAACGAAATGTTAGGATTAGTATGAACCAAATATGAAAGGAAATATGTGTGTGCCTGAAGGCATCAGAAGCAAGAGCATAACAAGATTTAAAGAAATGCTATACGAATTGCTACAGAGCACTGCAAGCGTGACTTTGTTTAAATGATCAGGCAGCAAGAAGATGAATAACAACCTGACCCCAAGGTAAGGAAACAAGAATCATAGAATCACATAATCATTTAGGTTGGAAAAGATGCTTAAGATCATCCAGTCCAACCATTAACTTAACACTGCCATGAGCAGCCATATATCCATGGGTAGCCTAAATGCTGAGTAACTAGCAATAGGACACTGCTGCTGAAGTCAATTCAAACTGGGACTGTAAGGGAAGAGGACCAAAGAGGTATGTAAGGTATCAGTGCTCAGCAATTCCCCAAGCCTGTAGCTTTGCATGGGGTTGTTGTGACCCAAGTGCAGGACTCGGCACTTGGCCGTGTTTTAACTCATACAATTGGCCTCGGCCCATCGATCCACCCTGTCCAGATCCATCTGTAGGGCCTCCCTACCCTCGAGCAGAACAACATTCCCACCCAACTTGGTGTCATCTGCAACTTACTTCTCAATGAGATCACCCACTAAGTTTTGCTACATTGATTTTCTGCAGAAACAATTATTAATTTTAATTATTTCCAAACAAAGCATAAAGTTAAATCATTTATACCACATTGTTGTACATACTATATCGCAATTTGTGAAGTTCAAAATCTTACTGGAATTATTTAGCAGCAATTTCACCTTCCTCCTTCTCATATCAGGAAATGTAATCGTAGTCATGCTTAAGTCACAAATACAAAATGTTTAAATCCAAATAAACAAGAATATTTTCATTAAAATTTTAAAGCATACTTTAGAAACATTTCTGCAGATATTGTTCTCAAAAGTCCTACGTTTCTTTTTAATGCATCCAATTACACTGGAAAGTTTCAGTCTTTTGAATCTAAATCCATCACATACCCTTAACAAAGATACAGTCAGTTACTCTATGCAGAATTCGGTTCTGAAATTCTATAAAGTGCTTTAACTATCTAGATGAAAAAATATGCTGTCTTTTAGCTTTCTGAAGATTTATGTGCCACTGCCTAGACTCGCTGAGGACTAATTTCACTCTCAGAATCACAGAATGGTTGAGGTTGGAAGAGACCTCTGGAGGTCATCTGGTCCAATCCCCCCTGCTGAAGCAGGGCCACCTAGAGCCAGTTACCCAGGACTGTGTCCACAGAGCTTTTGAGTATCTCCATGGATAGAGTCTCCACAACCTCTCTGGGCAATCTGTGCCAGTGCTTCGTCACCCTCACAGTAAAAACAAACATGTTTCCTGATATTTGGGAGGAACCTTCAGGGTTTCAGTTTGTGTCCATTTACTCTTGTCCTGTCACTGGGCACCAATGAGAAGAGCCTGTCTCCATCTTCTTTGCACCCTCCCCTTCCGGCATTTATATACATTGGTAAGATGCCCCCTCAGCCTTCTCTAGGCTAAATAGCCCCAGCTTTATCAGCCTTTCCTCATAGGACAGATGCTCCAGTCCCTTAAACATCTTTGCAACCTTTCTCTGGACTCCCTCCATTATGTCCAGGTCTTTCTGGTACTGAAGAGCCCAGAAATGGTCATAGTAGTCCAGGTGTGGCCTCACCAGTGCTAAGCAGAGGGGAAGGATACTTTTTCTAACACAGCCCAGAATACCATTAGCCTTCTTTGTCGCAAGGGCACATTGCTGGCCCATGTTCAACTTGGTGTCCACCAGGAATCCCAGGGCCTTTTCTGCCAAGCTGCTTTCCAACTGGGTGGCCCCCAGCATATATCAGTGCATGGGGTTGTTCCTTCCCAGGTGCAGGACTTTGCACTTCTCCTTGTTGAAGTTCCTTGCTGAGGTTCCCATCAGCCCTTTTCTCCTGCCTGTTGAGGTCCTTCTGGATGGCAGCATGACCCTCTGGTGTATCAGCCACTCCTCCCAGTTTGGTGTCATGAGCAGACTTGCTGAGGGTACACTCTGCGCAACATCCAGGTCATTAATGAAGATGTTGAATGCATTTGGACCCAGTATTGACCCTGAGGTACATTGCTAGTCACTGTCCTTCAAACAGACTTCATGCCTCTGATGGCTACCCTCTGCGCCCAACCATTCATCCAGTTTTCAATCCACCTCAATTTTCAATCCATCTCGTTAACATATATCAGAATTAAATTAATTACTGTGACTCCAATATGGTGTACAGCTAAGAGAAATCTATTTCCCCCCCCCCCCGAATTAACTATTAGCACCATTATTGTCATCCCTGCGAAACCCATCTCTTTGCATGCAGTTCTATGTTATGTTACAGCTTTTACAGAGTAGAGGAAGCAAAGCAAGAATTCAACAGGGAGCAAACCTAAAGCACATCAGAGACTGAAGCAAAGCTGGAAAGGGCAGGAAACAAACACATGGACAGGGCTCCACTGTGTTAAAGAAACTTCCCAAGGGCAAAAGAACAGAGAACAGAATTTGTTGAGAAAATGAAAGCTCCTGAGTTGACTGAAACCAAGCCCAAAGACCCAGCCTTCAAGACCACAGTTGGCAAAGGCAGTTTTGTTTGTAAACTCTTTTCATTTCTATTCTGCCTTACCAAGTTACTTTTGGTTTTCCATTTTAAAGCATTATTTTTTCTTTCAAAGGATTAATTTTTTCTTTTACATTCTAATAAAGCTTGGCCTTTTGAGTTTAAAAGCATTTTAATCTCATTTGGGAAGTAACTGTAATGAAAAGATTCTCCTCACAGCTCTGATCAACTCATGGACATTGTGAAGAATCTCATGAAGTCTCTTCACAAGACTCCAGCAGTAGAAATACTTGTCTTTCTGTGTAATTTTTGCTCCTGAACAATCTACTGCTACATAAGTTCATTTGCTATAACAAAGAGTCCAAAAATTTTTCTCTGTCTATATTGCCCACACCCTTTGCTTAGAATTTTCATGCAGACAAAACAAGAGAACTTTCCAAACAGATGGGTTTGCATCTGCTGTAAAATCAATGCCAAGGACTAGGAAAAAGATACAACCAACAATCTTCAGTTTATTATCAGAAGTACTCTTCTGATGCATGTTATTGATCCATTAAAAAAAAGAATACCCCAAAATACTTCTAATATCCACATGGTTCCTTGCAGAAATCCTGAAATCTGCTTCCAGGCATAAAATCTGATAGATCAAAACCACATGCTGTGGTCAGAGTGAACAAAGGTAAACACATTCAATGGCAACTGAGAGAGTCCAAATGTCAATATATGCAGATACCATGCAAACCTCCTATTCTGTACCAATAGCCTTCTTTAGGTTTCCCTGAATGGATTCAGTGCTTCAATGGAACACTGCAAGGTTTAAGAAACTTACTGCAATGGACCTCATCACTCCAATCATCACAGTCATTGTAGCCATTACACTGCAGTTTCCCTGGGATGCAGATCCCACTGGCACACAAGAAACTCTCCTCTCCTCTGCACAGTGCTGGAAAAGAGAAGAAAATAAAGAATGTATGTTAAACTTTTCAGGGTAAGAAGAAATAAGCAGAAATAAAAGACAGTTAAAACAACGAGTCTTAACTGATGCACTTAAGCAACAAACCCCACATTAATCAAATGCAAGCTAGTGCAAACTGGCATTTTCATCTAAGTTTTGTTATTTCAAAAATAGATATCTAGGCTAAGTTAATCAGTGAGGTTCAGTCTACCATTACTTCTAAAAAGCAGCTGTACAGAGTAACTGTTAAAAACTGACCTTAGGATGGGATTAACAACCTCTTTTTTTCCCCTTAAATGGATGCATCAGATTAAAGATCAAACTAAAGCTACAGTAGACGGATCTTCCCAGCCTAGGTGTTCAGGCAAAAGCTTACCAGGTTGAGAATTAACAGTGTCATAGCACAGACACCTTTCTAGAGGGGAAGGCTTCCTCAAACATGACACAACTCCCTGAATGCTCGAAGACAGTCATCATTGCTATTCGATATATGGGGAATCGAGATACCTAAAGAGACAAAAAAACCCCCAAAACCCTAGAGTTTTAGGTATCCCACTGGAGATACCTTGCAGGGCCATTTTGTTCAGAGGGAGGGAACTCATAACACCTTCCCATTCAAGTCCTTCAAGGCACTTAAAATACTGAGATGCAGATCAACATTTATTGGTTTACACCGTAGTCCATGCAATACAGACTAAGCCTTTGCTTTAAAAAACATTGGCTGAGAAAAATCCCTGTAAAGCATACAGATGGGAAAAGATATCAAGTGAAAATTACATGGAGATGCAAAATAAAGATGTCAAGTAGAAAAGCAAATATTTAGTACAGAACCTGGCTGTTGGGATTTTTTTTTCTCCAAAAGCCACAGTTAACAGTCTGCTTACTCAACAAAGCTAAACAAAAGAGAAAGTTTCACCTCCAGTAAAAGATCAGAAAAAAAAACCCCGATAACTTTACTTTAAGCATACAAATCCAAAATGAGAATTAGCTTTCAGAGATGGAGGAAAAAATCTTGTCACTTTGCCAGTGTAAAGCTATTAAATGTATCCATGTGTGAGAACAGCAGGTTCAAACAATAAAATCTCATGAAAGTTCAAAATTCTACTCATAGAAATTCCATTGTAATTCAAACTTGGTATCCAAGTTTGCCAAGAACAATAAAGATCTCTAATTGTAGCTTTCAAACTTTACCACAATGCAAACTACAGGTATGAAAAACCATCAGTTTCAGCAGCAGCAGCTCTAGAATCTCTTCCTCCATTAAAGTAATTTTGCACCTGATCACAGCATAGCTCCATATTTCTCATTTTAGAATGCATTTTTTCCTATTCCTATAGGAGGATTCAGTTCCTATTTATTCTCCCTTTATTCTCTGAACTTGATGCTTAAAATCCAAGAAGTATATTTATAATCTACATCTCAGAAGCAAAAAAAATGCATATTGAGTATTCTCATCATAATTTTGTATTCCTCATAACATGTCTACCAACAAGGATATTTATGCAGAATACAGTTTAAAATTAAATTTAGGAAAATTAACCAAATATCTAATTATATAATTTTTAGTAGCATGAGCTTTTATGACCTCAGTTTGGAACTGCAGTAAGTGATAGCACAAAGATAACACATTACATAAATGTCGGATGAAACCATTAATAAATCAACAATTACGATGATGTTTGTGTCAACATTTTTCTTGGTGCTGCACTCAGTAGAATTCCTAGTGTAAGGAATTATCCTTAACAGTGAAGTATTAACCATAATAATGTCTTGATGAAGCACATTCTTGGGCAAACAAAAACTGAGCTTAAGTCAAAGATCAGTCCTAAACTCACATACTGCTAACGTCCCATTTAAACTCCTCTTTCTGTAGCCAACATTTCACTTACAAAAGGAGGGAAAATTCTTTTTAATCTCTTCTAGCAAAACAGTGTGTCATGAAGTAACTTAATGCATACAAGTAATCTCCTTTTGTATTTCTTCAGAAGAATAGAAATATAAAAATGAAACAAAATGGAAAGTAAAGAGGTACTGATGAAATCTGGCAGTGTTTCACAAAGCATTCAGATGCAGTTTAAGGATATAAAAGATGAAAGTTAGAAAGAGATGAGAAACATGAACTAATAAATATTGACTCTCCATGCTGTTACATCAATTTTTATCTGCTTTATTCAGTTGTTAAGCCATACTGCTTCACGGAATTTCAGGAATTATTTAGTGATGTATCTTTTGATTTTAATAAATGTATCATGAAAGAAAATTGGATGGAAACCTTCTTAAAATCTCAAACACATGGCTTTTATCTTACGTGGCTTTAGACTACAGGGTAGCAAGTGTTATGCCTCCTTTTTTTTTTTCATATGTGAAAAGCTGAAGGATAGGAGGCCCAAGTGGTTTGTCCAGTGACAAAAAAGGAATCAGGTGAACAATTCAAAGTGGTTTATAGAATTATAGTCCTAAAAATCTAAACCTAAATCAGAAAAAAAGAAATAAGGTTATATCCCTGTTCTGACAAAGTAAGCCTCTTACTTCTTGAAGCATGCTGGTCTTCACAACAGTCTCTCTTCCGGAATTTTGGCTGTTGGTGGGAGACCAGTATCCTTCAGCCATGCTGTTGCCTTCACTCTGGCATGGGACAGTTTGTCAGTCTTCATGTTACTCTAACACCTTTCTGTCTTCTCACTCTCTTGAAGCATTTCCAGTGATGAGCAGGACCCTTTCTAGACCTAGGCCTGAGATCCCCATGCTGTTGTACTATTCCTCTGTTGTGCTGGTTTTCTTTTCACAGCTGCCCTTAATCTGCAGCTACCAGGTACAACCTACAGCCTGGAACACAGCTTTTTGCCGTTCTTTTGCCTTCTTGAATCCACCAGCACAACCTGCCCATAGCGACTGTCAGAGCCATGAGTGCATCAGTAGGCCTTGAGCGGCTTTGAGTGACCCTGCCCAGCCTCACCCTGCCCAGGGGCTCAAGCTGAGCTCAGGGCTGGGACTTCAGTACCCGCCTGAGCACTGCTGTAGGCACAGACTTACATCCAGCTCCATCTCCTGGATGGATCCCTCATATGTACGCCGTAGCTGGTCTGCAGCCCTAACTTTAGCCCTGGTTCCTAGGTGGGCTTGGAGCCACAGCGGATCTTTGTCACCAGTCCCATCTCTGGTCCCACCTCCTTGACTGGGCTCTGTGGTCGGACCCTGGACCCGGTTTATCCTTTTGCCATGTCTGGGGCCAGGTCTGCCTGCTGCATTCAGGCTCTGCATCCCAGCACAGCTTGACCTCAGCTCCCAGGTTGCCTGCCTGGAGGGAGCAGCCCCACTCCTGCAGCTCCCTGATGATGACCTCAGGTCCTCAGCTGTTGGGTTACAGCAGGCTGATTGCTCAGCCTGTCTCCTCGTGGTGCCTTAGTTTGGCTGGTCTGATGCTAGCTGGCAGTCAATTCAAGTTCCAACAGCTGTTTGACACCTCTGGCCAGCTATATTAGAAAAGTAATGCGATATTCCTTGTCCTCAGTTCTCCATTATTCTTTCAGTTATCCCAGATGCCACCTCTGCCTTGCCATGACTTCACAGTACACACGGAAGACGTCTTTCACCACGAAAGTAGTGTGCCTGTTGTCCCTGCACGGCATATTTGGTATGCCACCATTTGCAAAGTGAGCATTCATTTTCTTTAAAACTACTCTTTCCTGACCACCCTCCAAATAACCCAACACCTAGACACTAGAATATTAATAACTGGTTTGTTCCCTTCATTGAAAGTGGACAGTCACATTTTGACATCTAGAAGGGTTGATTTAGGTTTTCAGTAGGGTGCAAAATACCTTCTCTTGTCAGTCTAACATGATTTTCACGGTTGCAAAGTATTATCTATCTCATGATAACTGCTCTTAGATCTAATGGAAATACCACCGCCTCACTTTAAGGAAAATCCCAGCTGCAAATACAGCTAATATTCCCTTACACATTACAAGTCTCCATCATCCTTTTCCCTAAAATTCTTTCTTTTCTATTTTCTGATTTATAAAACATCCCCATTATTTTATGGTTGAGGAGCAGACAGAAAGTTCCTTCAAAAAAATCTTTACTTTCTCTAGTAAAATTTAATTTCACACCTTGTCTTATTAAATACAATAAGCTTGACTTGATTTTAATAGCGAAAAAATCAGCTACTCACAAAAAATCCATATGTGATCTTATTTGTTAAAGATTAGCTGATTTATAAAAGCACTATGAAGCAACACCATAATTAAAAAGCCTAGGCAAGGCAAGATGTTCTTACAGAATAAGGAATCTTTTATGTGATCCAGAGATTAAGATTCTCTTCCCAGCTTTGCTGCAAACTTTTTGCATCACCTTGGACAATACAGGCAATCTGCGCCTTAGGTCTATACCTATAAAAAGACAAAAAAATCTTCTCCATTTTCCTGGGCTCTTTGAGAAGAAAAATTATTAGTTTCAGTACTATAAAGTTAATGATGCAGGAAGCTTATGAACTTATCTTCATACTGATTATTTGATATTCAAGATTTCCCACATGGATTGAAATATATTTCCATTTTGGGAAACATCAGGATAGCTCTCAGAGGGACATCACTAAGTGCAAGAAGGTCAGGAGGAAAACCTGAAATATAAATCTCAATGGAAACACCACCATTTTTGAGATGGAACAAAGCCATTTAAAACTGCTGTCAGTGAATGACCCATTTTAAAAGACCTCAACAGGTAGTCATGAAAAGACTATTACACCTGTGAAATCCACCCTTTGGACCAAAGAGTGAGCCTTTAATGTGCCTACAAAAAAATATAATAATTTCTGCTCACGATCAGCCTTTCTGTATAGCAAGGTAATATTCTTCACACCTTGGCAAACCGCTAGGTGCACAGTGGATGCTGTGATGTACCACTGAGCATCGGAAATACCTAAACATGCAGACTGTGTTTTTCAAAAATTACAAATAGCTCCTGCTTGCCCTGACTGCAAGTGCAAT